CCTGCGCTCAAGCCCTGGAGGAAGGAGCCGGAGCCAGCAAGGCCCCACAACGTGGCCTCCCAGGATTTTTAAAATCCTGGGCCATGACGTCACACCACGTCACGTCATGGCCCGGGCGTCCTCCCCGCCCACGTGCAATGCTGCACATGGGCAGCAGCAGGTGGCCAGAAGGAGCCGCGCACGGCAGGGGCCGAAGGGGATGCTCTGGGGGCGGGGTGGGAGGATGCGCAGGGTGGCCGGCTGCGGGCAGAGCCGGGGAGAGATCCAGCTCCACATAGTGGAGCAGGGCCCCGGCTCTGTAGCTCGCTGGCCGGCACTTCTGGGTTCAGGGGTGCAACCAGGGGAGAAATATCCCAGAACTTCTGACCCCAGCTGTAGCCTTGCAAACCAGTGTGCAAGTGGCACGTTTCTTTCCCCCAAACAGTTGCCAATAAGGAGCATGTTGCTAATATCTGAATGCTATTACTGCTAATGTTAATGGGTTGGGACTGGCAATATGTTGCCATTGATGAGACATGGCTAATGTCAGGACTGCTTTTAAGCAGACTGTACTGTATTTGTAAGATGGAAGGTTCAGCATCAGTCTGAATGGAGGGAAAGCCGTGTTAGGTAAGCTATCTTACCACAGTTAAGTACTGCAACATTCTCCCATCAACTCTGGATTCGTGAAACTGATCTTTGTACTGTGGCAAGCCGATATCATCAAGCCATCCTGAAAATATAAAAAGAATGGAGAAAACAAATCCAGATTTAAAAAGTCTTTTCATATCCAAGAAACAATTCTTGGAGACGAAATTCCATGTTCTCTGTGCTTTCACTCATACTCAGGGTCCCCTGACCCCCTTCAGAAACTCATGTGTCACCTATTCTCTTTTTCACTCCCCTTTCAACGTTTTCTGCCCTCCCTTTGTCAGATAGCTGGAGGCAGCTCCCCCCAAAACCCACAAATGGCATTCTTGAAATGTTTTAGAGGACAGAATAAATGGCTGAGAATGTCACACAGTCCTCCTCAGGGTGGTTAAATTGGAAGAGTTGCTTGATCTCTGAGGTATTTTTAAGCTGAATTTCTGTTGCCTTTTCCTCAGTCCTAAATTTAGCTAAGGTTCAAACTTCCAAAGAAATAAAAAAGTAAGCGTTGACAACATAAAGCATATTCATTGTAAATGACATTCAAAAAGGCCAAACTTCTAAAATATAAATCTCTTCTACCAATTAAATCTTCCTACTGTCACTGTGGTACAGTATGTTTAGACACTCAATCCTCTGACTTTAATATACATTTCCATGAAAAGCTCTCATTCACTGTGTCCAAGAAACACTTGAAACATTTTCATTACTTTTCAATTGAGGCAAAACCTCCAAAATCTCTAGTCCCAAAGTTCTACAAGCACTTACGTGTCACCCAGATATGATCTAGTTGTGCAGACTTATCATCCTGTTTTGTATTTATTGATTTAACAGCCAAAACTAATTTCTTCCTGTGCAGAGGATGTTTTATTCCTAGTTCCTGTAATAAAACCAATGATAACGAATAGTTTGTACGTGGTGCCATACATGTGAGAGAAACTGATTTTAGTTTTTGCTACATAAAGACGACTATACACCTTTTTGAATTAGCTGCTATATTTTGATGCTTGAATCTAAATGTAGCTAATGGACTGATACAATAAAGGACCAGCCATTTACATCTCCCTTATACACAGCAACAATTCCAGATTTCTTACCTTTTCCATGTCCTGAGGTGTTGCTGTTAATAACATGTGGCCAGAAGTCACCCACTGCCGTGCAAAAATGACATACTGACCAAGACCGAAGTCCTCAAGCCAGTTACAAACCCTTTCAGTGCTCCACTGAGCAAAGGGAGCATTGTTGTCACTGAAAAGCAAAATCCCAGTATTAGGATCACCTGAAAGAGAATTAACTGGCTCTTCAGAAAAGCCTTCTAACCTGGCAGTGGGAGGTTAGTAAATGCTTTCACAATAGCTATATTTTAAATCACGTCACTTTTAAATATATTTTTCCAGCTTCCATTAAAAAAAACCCACCCCATAGCAAGTAGAAAGTTGGAGCCTGATCCTGCAAGGTTCATTGTCTTTAGTTGATAGCACTGAGAAATATTTAAAAGACAATAAACAAATTAACTTGAATTCATGGCTTATACATGGCTTTGATCTTCTTTGAAGAGCAGCCAAAAGGTGCATTTGTATCAGGGTCTCTGTGATTTGGTTCATACTCTGTTCTCTGTATTGCAGTAAAAAGAACTGACACCTAGCTTTGGAGTACATAATATGGCAAATATACATTGCAATACAGAGAATGCTAATCTGAACGTTCTTACATAGTTTTAGTTCTACCTACTCTTGAAAAATTCAGCAGAAGAGAAAGGAGAGAAGTTTCCATGTGGGGAAAGTTAAGATCGAATCCTTGACTACGAATCATCCTATGCCTCAGAGGTGGGCAATAATTTTTGACCAGTGGCCACATCAGAAATGTTTGACTCTGGAAGGGGCAGGGCCTCAGGCTGAAGGGGCAAGGCCAGGACACTTCTGTGCTTCTCCACCCACAGACCCTGATTGGTTGGGAGTGGGGGAGTATGCAAAGTCTTGCCCCCTCCCCCCCGTCTTCCCCAGGGAACCACCAGCTGTTCTGAACAGCTGGCGGTTCCCTCTAGGTACCCGTGTCCCTGGCAGTGGGAGGAGACTTCGCACTCCCTCCACCCCCAGGTCAGTCAGGCCTGAGGAGGGGGAATATGTGAAGTCTCTCATGACAAGGCCTCCATGGGCTGGATCAACCCACTTGGGGGGCCAGATCCAGCCCACGGAGACCCTTTTGCCCACCCCAGTCTAGTTCTTCCCAAAGCAGGGAATGAAAAGGAGTTCATGCTTCATTTGCTCTCTGTTACAAGAGCAGTTATGGCTTCTCAGACTTTCCAACCAGAAGCTCAATACCTCCTGCAACTGCAACAGTGCAAAGAGGATGCATCAGAAATACCCTTCCTAGTTATAGTGAAATTCAATTGTTGTGAAGTAAGCTGGCCTACACTTCATCACAGGAGATACATTCCGTTCAAAGATACACTGAAAGTAAAAGTGATTACCTCTTCTGCCCCTTTGTTTCCTTTGATCTAGATAATCGAGGTCCAGCTGTTGCACGGAGACCACCTCTTCGAAATTCAGCTAAACCTAGATCGTCTGTGTGGAAGTTACCTGACTGAGTTCTTCTTATTCTGTACAGAGAGCAAAACACCATGTATTAGAGCATGACATCCAGCATTTCTATTTAATCCATAAAAGGGATATACACAGAAAGGCACCTTAGCTCTCCAGTAAGCCCAAAACATTTATACTAAAGCTGGAGAGAAGCTATGGAACTCACCAATCATGTCAGCTTTGTGTAAGTTCCAATGAAACTTTTAGATCTGGCTATTACACTTATTAGCGGGAATCATTTAATAATCTTTTCTTGAGCAAATGATGAAGGTTGCAGAGACGATTAGATAAGGCAGCTAGTCCAAACCACGTGAAAGCAAAGTGCTCTGCGAGTAACGCTGCTCAGTCCCGACACTGTACCCCAAATAGTCGAAGTGCCTGGACTCAGACTACCAAACAACTGGTGGCTTGGAAAAGACAAGTGTCTAACAGGTTAAGACTAAGCCTGTATTTGCAACTTTTGCCTTCAGACATGGAAGGCATTTTAAAAAAATGGTAATTAAAGTTTTTGGCTTCCATCCAACGTATGACATTAATAAATTAGAGAACTTCTCCTTCGTACAGTATGTCTGTTCCTAGATTTGAGGAATCTATTACCTCAGTCTGAGCCATACATACATACCTGCCCACGTGGACATACAGAGTTGCTGGTTTTGCTTATTGCATTTGACATTTTGTTTTATTACAGGTACAGATTCTCTAGCTCTTCTAGAACATGATGTACACTGAAAATGTTGTGATCTGAAATAGTTTGATAGGACATGGATATGGAATGAAGAAGATCTTACTTTCCCCATATTTTCCTGATGCCTTTTGGACTCCTTTTATTTTCTGGAGACAATGGAGACTGTGGACCTGATTCTCTTCCAGAAGAAAGGGGTGAAAGTTCCTCTAAAATTATTGTACCATCCATATTCTCTGTCTCTCCTGAGATAAATACAGTAGCCAAGTTATTTATTAAACTACATGTCCATAAAGTACAAGCTATTTATCTAGAAGGCAATGTTTCACAATGGCTTTAAAAATTGAATTCATTCACTAAACAAATGCAACTATGCAGAAAGTGAGTATACACACAGTCAGACAAGTTAGACTAATTGTGAAGTCTGTGAATCACTTAGCAAAAGCTTGAGTGTGTAACCCCATTTATTTTCACCTCTGAAAGTCATATAGATAGTTTACAGCTAATTCAAGAAATCCACTAAAAGCCAAATTCTGCTCTCAAGTACACCAGTACTTTCCCAGTAAAGTCACTGGAGTACAATACAGCCCTTGTCTGTGAGAAGAGACACAATTTGTGTCACAGTAGTGTCACTGATTAGGAAAGTTCCTTAAATAGAAGTACAGGTTGAACCTCTCTAGCGGTATGTCTACACTACAAAGTTAATTTGAACTAACAGACGTTAGTTCGAATTAACTTTGATAGGTGCTACACATGCAAACCGCTAGTTCGAACGTAATTCGAACTAGCGGTGTGCTTAATTCGAACTAGGTAAACCTCATTCCACGAGGACTAACGCCTAGTTCGAATTAAGTAGTTCGAATTAAGGGCTGTGTAGCCACTTAATTCGAACTAGTGGGAGGCTAGCCCTCCCCAGCTTTCCCTGGTGGCCACTCTGGGCACCACCAGGGAAACTCTTCTGCCCCCCTCCCGGCCCCGGAGCCCTTAAAGGGGCACGGGCTGGTTACGGTGTCCGTGCCAGGTGCAAGCCTGCCAGCACCCAGCCAGCAGACCCTGCACCCGGCACGGCTCGAGCCCGCCAC